CCCCCCCCCCCCCCCAAGGCCATCCACTGCAGAGCAATTCTTCCTTGCCAGGACACTCCTTCTGTGAAATCAACCTATAGTGCTGAGGTAAGTATCACAAATTATTAACTAAATTAAATGACTCATGTAAGTAAATGTGGTAGAAATGATAAGCAGAGAAAATAGTTGGATTTTTATAGTTAGTAATACTTTACTTAACTAAATTCTATATGAAATATGTACCAAACAAGCTGGGGTCCTCATTTTGCGTCTCTCAATATTTTATTTTTAAATAATCTCTACATCCAACATGGGGCTTAAATTTACAGCCCCGAGATCCAGTGTCTCATGCTCTACCGACTGAGCCAACCAGGTGCCCCTGCATCTATCTTTTAAATAAGTTCTTTTTCTTTAATTTTTTTAATGTGTATTTATTTTTGAGAGTGAGAGAGGGAAGGGCAGAGAGACAGGGGAACACCGAGTCTGAAGCAGGCTCCAGGCTCTGAGCTGTCAGCACAGAGCCCAACATGGGGCTCAGACCCATGAACCGTGAGATCATCACCTGAGATGAAGTCGGACGCTTAACCGACAGAGCCACTTAGGTGCCCCTGCATCTCTCTTTTAAAGGCAGTTTTGAACATAAGTGTAATAAAAGGAAATGGGTACTATTTTGATTGTAAAAGAAATTCAGAATAAAGGACCTCAAAGCAAGAACTTGGGGACAATGTCTTTTAACTTTTAAAAATTAACATTTGCAGGATTAAAGGTTCTAGAAATGTGCTCTGTAGCCACGTAAACTTCTATCTAGGTATCCTAACAGGCATATATTGCAGATTTACTGAATACATTTCTGTCTTGTTCTTGTCATAGGTACTGCTAATCGTTTTTCAGAAAGGACTATGATAATAAATACATACTAAATAAATAATAAGCACTAAATAATATTAAATACATACATACATTCATACATACATACTAGCTCCCAGGCCAGACCTATTTGGACCAAGCAAATAGAATTGAGGACCAACCTGTCTTAACGGGGCCTTCTTGATTCTGAGATCATCCCACACCAAACCACACCTACTGTGTATAGGGCTATAGAACACTATATACTTGGAGGCAAAGAATCTCAGCTTCTAGACTCTCCTCTACCACTTAATAACTGCACGACCCGAGGCAAGTCTTATGACCTCACGACCTCAGTTGTCTCATCTGTATAACACATCACTGCCTAAATAGAGGAAGCAGAACCAAATTATTTCCCAAATGCTTTTCAGTGCTAGAATTACGGTTGTTGTAGCACTGGTTCTGGAGCTCCTGCTTCTGTATCTGCCCCAGAGATAGCTTTAAATACTGGGCCACGCGAGAAGAATATGAAAGTCTAGAACTTGGAATGGATGTTTCCTCGATCGTTAATACTGAGGGGATAGTCCTTGATTCCAGCAGCCCAGGCAGTTAGTAAGTAGCACAGCTAGAATTTTAAACTAGTTTCTACCTAATGCTTGTAATGTGGATGGATGAATGGATAGATACTTCACCTTTGTTTTGAAAGAAGCCAGTTTTATGTATTGCTAGCTTTATTTATAAACCTGATATGTACAAACTTACCTGGCCAACAGTCTATTGTATAGTTAAGAAGGGGAGAATACATTATTTTACATACAGAGTTTAAGATACATAGCATCTTTTATTTATAACTGGAAATGACTTCTCTTCTTGATTAGGTGTCTGTTCCTAAAGAATTGGTGGCACTTATGAGTGCCATTCGTGATGGAGAAGCACCTGACCCAGAAGACCCGAGCAGGAAAATCTATAGATTCAGCCAAAAAGTAAGTTCTTAGGTCTAAATTTTTGGTTTAATTGGTGGTGAACTACGAATAGCTTTTACCCATCCAGAGAGAAAATTACATTTGAAATATTTCAGAATTTAGGAAGCAGCTTCTTTTTTCTTCATTTCTTTTTTCTTTTGTGCCTATAAAATGGTGTGTTCTACTTACAGAGTTGTACTAAAGAAAAGTACTAAGTACTAAGCAAAGTGGGGAGCATGGCCTGATCCCATTTTCTCTTATCCCAGTTAATAGCAGATTTTCTGTTATTTTAAGTTACCCTTTTGCCCGCCTTGGTACCACAGTACAGGCATGTGGTTATTTAGTGTTTATAAATGGAAGGGCTATATTAGACCAAAAAAAAAAAAGAAAGAAAAAAGAAAAAAACCAACAACACTGTGTTACAATTCTTAAAGTTAAAATTCCTGTGTAATTTAAGCTGGTAATTTGACTTGCATCTTTGACCTTTGATGAATTGTGTGTGTGTGTTTATACATAGTGCTTTTAGTTTTTTTTTTAATGTTTATTTATTTTTGAGAGAGACAGAGACAGAGCACGAGCAGGGGAGGGGCAGAGAGAGAGGGAGACACAGAATCCAAAGGAGGCTCCAGGCTCTGAGCTGTCAGCACAGAACCCAACGCGGGACTTGAACCCATGAGCAATGAGATCATGACCTGAGCCAAAGTCTCACACTTAACCAACTGAGCCACCCAGGCGGCCCTGTGCATGTTTGTTTTTGTTTTTGTTTTTAACTGACCTCCGTCACAGTACATGTAATTGAGCCACAGCGGACAGTTTTGCTCCTACACCAGCATCTGGGATTCCAGGCTCCCAAACCTTCAGCATCCTCTTACTGCTGGATTCTTTTATATGCCTCTCAAATATACGAGGAGCGGTTTTTAAAAAGAAAGTAAAATATTGTTTTAGATCAAGGAAAACACTGAAAACTTAAGAGAAAAAGCACAGTTCCTTCTTACAGATTACTTTTTGAGAAATGCTTGAAATAGACCTTGTGCAATCATGATTTTCACATTTCAGAATCTGTCCTTCCTAGTAAACTGAAAGAGAAATAGACGTTTTGAAATGTTTTACATCACAATTTTGAACCATTTGACCCCCTAAAAATGAGAACTGTGAAATTTGAAAAGGAATTTATTTACTTTTAAATATGAATTGTCTTACTCTATAACATTTTTAAGCACTAATTTGAGCATGTGTGTGGGTTGTTTTTTATTTTTTTTCGTTTTTTTTTTT